CTAAACGGCTCTCTGTCTCCAGCTCAGTCCGCAGTCTTCAACAACAACATCACTAATCTGTCTCTCTGCTTTTACAGGACATCTACCACTGGCAGATCATGGATGGCAACCTAACACAGAATATACGCAAATACTTACCAATGACAGGTAAATGTGGAAGTCTTGCAGGAAACTGAATGCATATATATATATATATATATACAGTATATGCATCAAGTCTCCTGCAGTGTTTTTTGGTGGAACTTTTTTGGTGAGACTTCTGGCTCTTCCAAAAACTAAAATCACCTTTGAAGGGGACCGAGGCATCATTGTCCTATGTACAATGTTTTTAATATCTTGTATCTTTTTCAATAATGTGGAAGTCTTGCAGGAAACTGAATGCATATATATATATATACAGTATATGCATCAAGTCTCCTGCAGTGTTTTTTGGTGAAACTTTTTTGGTGAGACTTCTGGCTCTTCCAAAAACTAAAATCACCTTTGAAGGGGACCGAGGCATCATTGTCCTATGTACAATGTTTTTAATATCTTGTATCTTTTTCAATAAATGTCTCTATTTTTCATATTACATGGCTGGATACTTTCCATACAGCCTTTGTAAAAAAAAAAAAAAAAAAAAACCTTTTTATTTCAGCTAGCTGTCAAGGCAACATTTCTCATTTTTATTTAGTTTAACTTGATGTACTACTAAACCTGAAATAAAAATCTCAATGCTAAGTAACACTGCTCTTAAAGTCAGTCTGATTAGATTTGATTGACTTTTTTAATAGTTTTATTGAGAATGAATGATTCCTCAGTGCATTTGGTCACACTTTATTTTAAGGTCAAATTCTCATCGATAACAAACCATTAACTACGACTTCAATAAACTCCTAATTTGCTGATTATTAATAGTTAGTAAGGTAGTTGTTAAGTTGAGGTATTGGGTAGGATTAGGGATGTAGAATATGGTCATGCAGAATATGTGCTTTTTAAGTACTAATAAACAGCCAATATGTTAATATATAACATTGTATTCTAATAAGCAACTAGTGAATTGTGAGTTTTTTTTCACATACTATTAGTTTTTGTTAATATCTTGAATTGCATTTTAGATTGTGTTTTCATTTTCATTATAGTAATTTTTATTATTATTTTTTAAATACTGTATGTCTATATAGTTTTTATGTATATTTAGTTTATTATTTTAGTACTTCAACAAACTAAAAATAAGAATAAAAAAAATATATATATATTTTCACCTAATGTTTGTTTCATTTCAAGTTATATATATATTAATGTTTTAGTTAACAATAATAGCCTTGCTCTGCACTGGGCCAGAAACATCCATGCATTGCAAAGTAAAATCTGTCCATTGACTCACGGCTTTACCGCTGTCACAGGTCACATCCAGATCGCTCAGGTTCCTGACCGCCACGAGCCGGACAGCGACGGAGAGCTCAGTTACACGTATCTCTTCAAGCTGCTGGAGGAGCTGGACTATCAGGACTACATCGGCTGTGAATACAAACCTCAGCGTGAGTCAGGGTCACTGGACACTTGGCTTTATGCCGTTTTTAACATTTGAATGCTTCACCATGGCTTTTACAGCATGAAACTCATCCATCAGGATATACTGTATGTTGACAAGTCCATGGATGAAAATAGAAATAATGTTGCACAAAAACATTGTAAAGGTATTTTGTGAGTCTAAATCTCATTTACTCATTGATATGCTTCATTTCCAGACTGCAGCCACTGTGACAGTTCAACAACTCTTAGATTGCAATGAGTATAGAGTGAAATTTCATTGATAGCTCATATCTGTAAATGTGATTGTCCAGGTTCCACAGAAGCGGGTCTGGACTGGCTCAGAAGATACTGGAGCAGCCACAACTGATGAGCAGCTTCACTTCTTCAGTTCCTGCTTCTTCTAAAAGGCAATCATATATTAAAAAGACAAGACAAAAAAAAAAAAAAAAAACCTTTTTATTTCAGCTAGCTGTCAAGGCAACATTTCTCATTTTTATTTAGTTTAACTTGATGTACTACTAAACCTGAAATAAAAATCTCAATGCTAAGTAACACTGCTCTTAAAGTCAGTCTGATTAGATTTGATTGACTTTTTTAATAGTTTTATTGAGAATGAATGATTCCTCAGTGCATTTGGTCACACTTTATTTTAAGGTCAAATTCTCATCGATAACAAACCATTAACTACGACTTCAATAAACTCCTAATTTGCTGATTATTAATAGTTAGTAAGGTAGTTGTTAAGTTGAGGTATTGGGTAGGATTAGGGATGTAGAATATGGTCATGCAGAATATGTGCTTTTTAAGTACTAATAAACAGCCAATATGTTAATATATAACATTGTATTCTAATAAGCAACTAGTGAATTGTGAGTTTTTTTTCACATACTATTAGTTTTTGTTAATATCTTGAATTGCATTTTAGATTGTGTTTTCATTTTCATTATAGTAATTTTTATTATTATTTTTTAAATACTGTATGTCTATATAGTTTTTATGTATATTTAGTTTATTATTTTAGTACTTCAACAAACTAAAAATAAGAATAAAAAAAATATATATATATTTTCACCTAATGTTTGTTTCATTTCAAGTTATATATATATTAATGTTTTAGTTAACAATAATAGCCTTGCTCTGCACTGGGCCAGAAACATCCATGCATTGCAAAGTAAAATCTGTCCATTGACTCACGGCTTTACCGCTGTCACAGGTCACATCCAGATCGCTCAGGTTCCTGACCGCCACGAGCCGGACAGCGACGGAGAGCTCAGTTACACGTATCTCTTCAAGCTGCTGGAGGAGCTGGACTATCAGGACTACATCGGCTGTGAATACAAACCTCAGCGTGAGTCAGGGTCACTGGACACTTGGCTTTATGCCGTTTTTAACATTTGAATGCTTCACCATGGCTTTTACAGCATGAAACTCATCCATCAGGATATACTGTATGTTGACAAGTCCATGGATGAAAATAGAAATAATGTTGCACAAAAACATTGTAAAGGTATTTTGTGAGTCTAAATCTCATTTACTCATTGATATGCTTCATTTCCAGACTGCAGCCACTGTGACAGTTCAACAACTCTTAGATTGCAATGAGTATAGAGTGAAATTTCATTGATAGCTCATATCTGTAAATGTGATTGTCCAGGTTCCACAGAAGCGGGTCTGGACTGGCTCAGAAGATACTGGAGCAGCCACAACTGATGAGCAGCTTCACTTCTTCAGTTCCTGCTTCTTCTAAAAGGCAATCATATATTAAAAAGACAAGACTGTAATTTTCTAAAGCTTAAAATTGACCCATAGACTCCCATTTTCAGTTGTTTTATTAATATTTCACTTGTCAGTAGCTATGAAATATTAATTTGTCTGTCTCTCAAGGCATTGCATATGAAGAACACTTCAGATGTTTTAATTTAAGATTTATTAAGTGTTTTTCTTACAAATCCGCATCTATATACAGAATGTACAAATGACTTTTTCACACATTTGAATTGCTAATTCAGCTTCTAACATTTTAATACATCTTTCTTTCAAAAATGTCCAGTGTGCTTAAAAAAAAAAAAACAGGAAGTTAAGACATTTGCTTTCCTTCATGTGAAATGAGTGTCGAGTCCAGTGTCGTCTCAGCACTGTGCTAGTTAGTAAGACTAATCATTACCCGCTCTTTATGTTGAAGGTACGTGAAGACCATGTGACTAATTTAAAGGGACAGTTCACCCAAAAATGAAATCTTGTCATCATTTACTCACCATTGTGCGGTTCCAAACCCATACGAATTTCTTTTAGCTGCTGAACACAAAAAGATACTTTAAAGAATGTCTGTTACCAAACAGCTGACGGTAGCCATTGACTTCTATAGTATTTTTTTTCCCACACTATGGAAGTCAATGGCTACCATCAGCTGTTTGGTAACAGACATTCTTTAAAAAAAAATCTTCTTTTGTGTTCAGCAGAAGAAACAAACTCGTACAGATTTGGAATGACATGAGGCTGAGTAAATTATGACAATTTCATTTTTGGGTGAACTGTCCCTTTAAGAGATTCCTCTTGAAAGGTGAACATAATACACTAGCTAGCTCCCATCAAGTTCATATGAAAACAAAATAAAGGCACTTTCGGGATGAAAAAACGGCAGTAAAGACAATCATGTTGGTCAAAAAACAAAACAAATTGCACATAGGCTACAGAAACGACATCAGCAACTGAGAGGAGATGAAGAAAACACAGCACAAATGAACACTAGACTACAGAAGGACAGTATGGTTTTGACAAACCAGCGGAGTTTCACACGCAATAAATACACCCTCCTGGATAATCGCCCTTCAATCAACAGGGCGGCACATTTAGCCGGTTTCCTGTGCAAAATGTTGGCAATTCAATTGCTTAAATGGATGCGACCTGGCCGACGCAGCACGCATTACACACACACGAGACATGTTCAGTCTCAGTCTGCGAGGGACGGGCGGCTCAAAGCTCAATCTTTGCACAAACCCACTTCAGACACTTGACTCCGTCTGATGCACCGCTGGCAGAAACACAGGTTCACAGCAGGCCCGTCCAGAGGTTGTAGCAGGCGGTGTTGATGACCGACTCCAGATGGTGGTACATGGAGACCAGCTGCGGTGGAGGACTGCTGCTCGACTGCGTCTGCGCAGGTAACAGCTCCCTGAAAACCACCTTCAGACTCTGGAGGCAGCAGAAGACGAGGTGAAACAGTGAGATTTACAGTGGGATCATGTTCGAGGAGCAAGAAATGAATGAATCTCATCTGGCAAGAACAGATCCAGGTTGCATTTCACCTCACAATCATAAGTATATTTAATAATAAAATAAAATAAATGAAAAGTATATTTTGCAGCTCAATAAAAGCATATTCACATCCCAGTTCCTATGACAATGCAAAAAAAAAAAACATTACTGTAACAGGACAAAAAGGTAAATAATAAAATAATAATACTAAAAAGAAACAAATAAAATCAATGTTATTTAGCATAATTTATGCATCATGATAGTATTTGTTGTACTGCTTTTAAATTATTTATAAAAATTGAGTATTTAAATAATTCGGCTGTAATATAGTCAGAATTTAGTGTCAATAATAAGAATAATCATTAATAATAATAATTACAAAAAAAAGATGCATTATGGCAATGAGAACTGTAGGAGAAAAATGTTTAAAAATATGCATAATATATAATTTTACACTTATATAACAATATAATAATACTATTATATATACGTATTATTGCTATAATTAAAGCAGAAATGAAATAATGTGAAATTAATAAATAAGAAATTAAAATACAAGGTTAACTCACCGTTTTTCCTGCCTGTGTGTCCAGGAAAACGAGCACAAAACAGTCTGTGAACTTCTGGTTCAGGACGGCCTGGAAAAGAGAGAGTTTATGCCCAAACAACACACCATTTAAACATTAAACATCTCGACTCCAGATGTTTCTTTTCATTTTTAAATTGAAATCTGATCTTCACAATCAATTTAACGTTGTGAATTTGTGCTCCGCATTAGGAAACACAGCGTCAGCCGCACGAAACAAATCCAGGTGTTGTTTGTGTGTATATGGAGGATGAAATGATCATCAGTTCAGGAAATCTGCATAAGCCCAAAACATCTCCAATTACAGAATGAAGCGGCTTTCAAACACACTTGAGGATCTGATGATTATCATCACATGAACTAGTACACAGGCACTGAGGTCTCATAATGTACCACGCTTTACCACATGCTTCCCTGGCCTCAAGTAACCGAGTTCAAGGTCTTTCCAGGAGAATAATGATTCAAGAGTGCTTTACCATCAGCGCTTCCCGTCTCGTAATGTACTATGACACGGCCAACAGGACTAACATCTCACACGACCCACAACTCGACTGTACGGCCTGAGGATCTGCTTCATGTGCAAAGCTGAAAATGAACACTAAAGATCTAGACTGTGATTATGAGCTTAAAAAAAGGAATAGGAATACCGAAGTGTTATTGGTCTCTGCAAATCTTGCTTTTCTTTTTATCCAAGAAACCTTATGAAGCAGATTATGAAGCAGCACAACTGTTTTCAACATTGATAATAATCAGAAATGTTTCTTAAGCAGCAAATCAGCATATTAAAATGATTTCTGAAGATCATGTGACACTGAAGACTGGAGTAATGATGCTGAAAATACAGCTGCACTTCACATAAATAAATTACATTTGAACATATATTCATATATAAAACAGCTGTTTTGTATTGTAATACTATTTCACAATTTATCAGTATTTTTGATCAAATAAGTGCAGCTTTGGTGAGCAGAAGAGATCTCTTACCAGATACTGTATGCCGCCGCCGTCGTCTTTAAAGTGCCTGCAGTTCTGTGGGAAGCGGGACAGCAGGACTTTGATGAGACTCTGGTACCAGGCGGGACTCATATTCAGGAAACAGTCCTAAAAACACAATCACTAAAAGTTTGCAACAACATCGATGATGACAGATTTGAGATTTTGCACTTTTATTAAGATTATTATTATGTTAATTATTCAGATTTTATTTTCTTAAAATAGAAAACAGTTCTTTTAAATTGTAATACTATTTCACAATATTACCGGTTTTACCGTATTTTTGAGCAAATAAATGCAGCCTTGGTGAGCAGAAGAGACTTTTTTCAAAAACATAAAAAAATCAGGGACAGAATTTTCATTTTGCACTACATGAGATTATTCAGGATTTATTTATCATTTTACACCATTTCAGCATCAAAGGCTACATTCATGGCAAACTCAAGAAAAATATGATTTAGTCTTATTATACTTCATTGAATTGTATACAGTAATTTAATAATACTATTTTACAAACAGATTAAATAAAAAATATGAATCAAGAAATTAAATATAACAACTATCTACAATCTTTCGAATTGATATTTGATTAAAAATATAATTTTTTTTCCCTGGACAAATTTAACTGTCCATTAATGTACTTTCTGAGTAAAAATGTTTCCCAGTATCATTTAAAGCAGGACACTCAAACAAACAAATATCTGTGCATGTAATATATGAGTGTGCAAAAAAACCTGAATGTTGTCAAAAGTGCAAAATAAAAAAAAAAATTACACATATATTACATGCATAAATATGCATGTAACTATAACATGCATTATGCATAAGAAAGCTTCTATGTATATTTTAAACTTGAGTAACAGCTGAAAAAGATTATTCTGTGTTTAAAAAGCCTTTAAGGTGCTGGAAGACCTGACCAGAATATTTCTTTTTAAATTAGCCGGCCTGTGCACACAAAGCATTGTTATTTTTCAGATCAGATTTCATGCAGGATCTGGCGGCAGGCGAGAGCTGCGGACGCTTCAAGTCAGTGAAACCACAGGAAGGCAGTTTTCACAGTCTGGCTGCGGCAGTACATTTTTAAAAAGATGTAATTTGCTGCAAGTTTCTCCTGGTCTGATATCACAGCTGGAGTACATCTCCACTTCCTTTGTGAGCGTGTGCGGCTCTGACAGTGCTATACATCATCCCAGCGCTCAGATTAGCATTAGCAGTCGTGGCACAGGAGCGGCCCGCTCGCTAACATTGACTAAGCCATCCTGCTCGCGTGAAGGGAATACAGAAGTGCAGATGAGGAATCAAACACCACTGATATGCTTGTTTGGAGAATCTGTGGCTACGGCATCATTGTGCGTCACCGGTGGAGGAAACGTCACATCTCATTCTCCCAGAGTTCAGCTGGATGTCAGGAAGCCAATGAAAGCAAACTCAGGATCAGGAGGAGGTGAAGACTTCAGGTGGAAGCAGAAGATGGTCAATATGGTCATATAAGTGCTTGCGCTCACAGCACACACACACACTCCGTTCCTTATTTACACCATAAATGATCCCTCTCTAACCATTAGGCCACGACTTGAGGGAAGTCGTGGCCTAATGGTTAGAGAGTCGAACTCGTAACCCAAAGATTGCAGGTTCGAGTCTCGTACCGGCAGGGATTGTAGGTGGGGGGAGTGAATGTACAGCACTCTCTTCCACCTTCAATACCACGACTGAGGTGCCCTTGAGCAAGGCACCGAACCCCCAACTGCTCCCTGGGCACCGCAGCATAAATGGCTGCCCACTGCTGTGTCTGTCTGCTGGGTGTGTGTTCACGGTGTGTGTGTGTTCACTGCTGTGTGTGTGCACTTTGGATGGGATAAATGCAGAGCACTAATTCCGCCATACTTGGCCACACGTCACGTCACGTCACGTCACGTCACGTCACGTCACGTCACGTCACGTCACGTCACGTCACGTCACGTCACGTCACTTCACTTCACTTCACTTCACTTCACTTCACTTCACTTCACTTCACTTCACTTCACTTCACTTCACTTCACTTCACTTCACTTCACTTCACTTCACTTCACTTCACTTCACTTCACTTCACTTCACTTCACTTCACTTCACTTCACTTCACTTCACTTCACTTCACTTCACTTCACTTCACTTCACTTCACTTCACTTCACTTCACTTCACTTGTCCTATTCAGAACCTAAAAAAATACTAAACCCGAATGATTTTTAGATTTTTGTTATGTTTCAGCTCTGAAATTATCATTATCATATTGGAAATATCAGTAGGAAATACAGAAACACCGTAAACAAAAGGCATAAATACAGATATAAATAATCATAACAAAAAATCAATGATTTTGGCAATGATTTTTGTTGTTGTTGTTGAATGAAATTAACACTTTTATGATTTTGGCATGCATTAAATTGATCAAAAGTGACATTAAAGACATTTATAATGTTACATTTAAATTAAATGCTTTTCTTTAGAATGTTCTATTCTCACAGATAATCCTGAAAAATAAAAAAATACCATGGTTTTCACAAAAATATGAAGTAGCACAACTGTTTTTATCATTGATAATAATCAGAAATGTTTCTTGAGCAGCAAATCAGCATATTAGAATGATTTCTGAAGCGACATGCATCTGTGCTGTATCAAACACATTTACAGTAACTGCTGCTGTGTAATCAAATCACCGTTGGCGAAGGATGTGGTGTGTGAATCTGTGCACGTGTTGGTCCAGGAGGGATAATTTATGGTGTAAATAAGGAACGGAGTGTAATATTAAAGGGCTGATTTCCTGAGCTAATTAGCTGATGTTTATTGCGGTGTGCTGATGAGTAGGCCACGTGTTTTCCCTACGGAGCGCTGCATTAGCATGTTTGTTGTCAGCCACCCATCAAACAAACTGCACCGAGCCAGCCGCTGATCAAACCGTCCCGAATAAACTGCACAACGAAGGAAAAAAAACATGCAATTTTCCCACAGTTTCTTAAAGACTGCTGTCAGTGTGTACAGGAAGAGAGAGTGCTGCACTTTCCATGAACAGGACGTCCTATTTCTCTTTAAAGTTTCAGAGACACAAATCACAAGTTTTGTTTTATTTTAATTATTCAGAGAACTATTTTGTGAGCACGAAATTAACAAAGTACTTTTAAAAAACATTAAATGATATTCTACAATAGTAGTAAACAATTATTATAGTGTTTACTGCATTTGTCAACAATTCAAACTTGTTATTAGGGATGTAACGATATCAAAATCTCACGATACGATAATATCGAGACATGTAGTCCACGATACGATATTTATCGCGATATATAAACAAAGTAATGAAGAATGGAAAAAAATGAACATTTTGTAAATTTAAAAGTTATTATTTTAACTTTACATTTATATTTATACAGCAGGGGAATTACAATACTTCTTTCCTAATGTCTACACTTGAAAGAGATATTTTGAATTTGGACCGCAGTAACGTTACCCATTTAAACCGCTAGCTGTCAGCAATTCATACTGCACATTTAAGCTTTTATTTTGAAGGAAAACTCCAGCTTCAGTGAAAACAGGCTAACAAAACACATCTTACTACAAATCTAGTGAAATGCTTTAATCATCTGCCGCAAAAATAAAGCATGACTGGTGGCCGTTGCGTTCCCAAACACACACTAAACTCAAAGCACGAGCAACAAACTGTTGAAAAAAAAGTTGACTGCATTTATTCAGTGTGAACGGAGCCGTTCACCGGATCACGAGCTGATCGCCTGAACGAAACGTGCAGCGCCAACAGGCTTGATGAAGGGATTAAGCCATATTGTGCTTTCGGTTTTAGTTTGTTTGACAGATACGGTACCAAAGCATAATGGCCCAAAACAACACTTTAAAGACCTTTTATGTAAGAATAAGAAGTTTAAATATATTAAAAAAATTACACTTTATGCCCGGAAGACCTATCGTTTCATATCGTCATGTGACCACGATAATATCGAGACAGTTTTGATATCGCGATATCACAATATTGATAATATCGTTGCATCCCTACTTGTTACCAAAGAACCAAATCAAACAAATACTTAAATTCATGCAAAATCAAGATTTTGGTCCAAACTAGCTACCTAATTTACGGTAAATCGGCAACCTAAATCTATCAAAAATGTATTTAATATTTATTGCTAGATTCAGTTTTTTAAAATAATTAAATTAAATTACTTTTTTTTTTATTTAATGAAATGAAATAATCACACAAACAGAGATCAGGGTTTAATTTAATATAATTTAATTTAATTTAATAATCACACAGACAGGGATCAGGGTTTAATATAATTGAATTTTAAATTAAATTAAATTACACAAATGGGGATTAGTTGGGGGAAAATATTAAATTTATTTATACATTTTTAAATAACAGACATAATTAATATTTTCCAGAATAAATAATTTAATCAGATCTATAACATTTTTATTTTTTATAGCACTTAATACTACTAATAATTGTATTATTCGTCTTATTAATAATAGTAATGTTATAGGTAATATTTATAATATTATTAATTACATTTTATGCCAGTTGAATTTAATTACATTTTATTTATAAATCAAAACCTCCTGGGTGCTTTCAAAAATGATCAATGAGTATTTATTGAAAAGGTAAAAAATGACCCTATTCAGACCCTATTTTGTACCTATTCATGGAAAGTGGTTGTGAGGGAATGAAGAGAAAGGAACATAAAATGTTAGATGAATGGGTGTGAAAGATGTTCTCAGAGGTGAAGGGCAGTGGATGTGTTTTCATACCAGCTGCGGGTCAATCTCAGAGACCGATCTGCTCTGCACAGCATCCAGCAGCTCTTCCAGTTCACCGAAGGCCAGCTTGCTGAGTTTGAGTTTATCCAGAGCCAAGTGCTCTCCGTGAAAGAGCCTCCTCCAGAGGTTATCCCTGCGGCAGTGGCCCATGGCCTGCTCCACGCTGCTCTGAATCTGCCGGCGAGCAGACAGCACCTCCGAACTGAGCAGGGGGAAGAGAGGACACAGGTAGAAGAGCCCCTGGGAGTCGTCTGTGTCTGCGTCTGCGTGCAGGAGGCTCTCCATGGGGTCAGACTCAGGGCTGGCTGCAGGGGTGACGGGGGCGGTGGTGTCCTCCCACAGATCCAGTTCAGATTCCCCGCCGGCCTCCATCCGCTCTGCAGGGACGCGGTCGCTCAGGTCACTGGGGTCACGGTGGATCTGGGGAAGCTTCTTAAAGCGCCGCATGTCTGCAGTCAAACGCGGGAACAGCTCCCTCTGACTGGTCATGATCACATAGAAACGCAGCCTGAAACCAGTATACATGCAACAAAAAAATGTTAGTTTAACAGGAAACAGGAAGTCAGAATAAATATTTCAATAAACATCAACTTTTTCCTCCATCGGTGCACATTATTCCAATGTTTGCTTTTATAATCTATAATGAAAAACACTTTCTCCACCTCTGAAATGACGTTTCTTTCTGTTGACATAACCATGCAGCTGGGGAAAAAATATTAACTTTATTCATTAATACTTAATATTTTTTAGAATAAATAATTTAATATGATCTATAATATTATTCATTTATTAATGTTATTAATTACAACACATAATAATAATTTATTATTATGTATATTAATGATATAGATAATATTTATATTATATATAAAAAGTATTTTATTATTAATATTAATATTTTTATGAATAAATTAATAAATGTGTATATATATATATATATATTATTTATTATTAATTATATATATTATATTATCTATAGTATTCATGATTATTATTAATTTATGAATATAATTTATCATTATTATGTAAATATTTATATTCATAAAATGTTAAACATTATTTTTAATATACAAATATTATTTATTTAAATATATTATTGTTTATTATTATTATGATTATGATGATATATAATACTTTTATTATTATTACACAAATATTATTTACATACATTATTGTTTGTTTATTATTATTTATAATAATTTATTATTTTATATAGTAATATTACAGATAATATCTATAATATAATATATTACATAACAAAGATCTATTCCATCTAAAAGTCTCAGTCTATATTTCCCCCACTGATTAAACCGTTTCACGCAGAAAATACCTCCCATCACAGAAGTGAACTTTATTGCAAATGTTGTTTCATGTCGTCTCGCCTACTGTTTAATTGTATTAATTGCTGTTATCTACTAATGTAGTGGTTAACTGATGCCCATAATGTGCTTCACAAAGTCACTGTATTCCTCGTTTGTTTGTACCTGAGCAGGTGTCTCTCTCCCTCCGACTGCTCCTCAAACGGGGCGGCGTTATGACAAACCAGCAGCGACACGTCAAAGTCATCATGGTGTCGCAATCCCTCCAGATCCTTAAACGAGCCAGAGCTTCAAGAGAACAGCATTATTAGAATAGAAATGATAACACCACCAGCTCAAACTAGGAGTGAACCGTTACAGTACCTGTTCCACAGAGCGACCAGCACGTACTCGTGCAGATCTGCGCTCGGCGCCCCCTTCTTGTTATCGGTGGTAACTGCAGATTTAGACATGCGCAGGGGCTTCATCCCGTAAGTGCCGGCGTGATCAGTGATGTAATTATACAGCTGATGCGCTGTGATCATCCCCGTCGATATGGAGAAACTCCCTAGGACACATGAAAGCATATTATGCATGACTGACAAAAACAAGAAACCACCAAATAATAAATATGCCGTGTACATGTTCAGTCACATTTCAACCCAAAATCAAAAGAAAATAAATACAAAATAATATTTTGCATAAAAAAATAAATACAACTTTAGGACCACTGAGATTTGAAATATAATCAGATTTTACACTCTAATGAAGCCAAGTTATTTCATAACTGTCATTATTATTACTAATTAGTTAATGATGTACCATGATGTATAAATACTTTACAATTTAAATATCTATCTTTTTGTTTTGCATTATAGTAATAAAATCTCCAAAATGCCACTATTAAAATATACATACATACATAAATAAATGTCACCATTAATCAAATTGTATATAAATATTAAGTTATGCCACTATTAAAACAAATTAAATTAGGTATAAGTACATCCCACCATTAAACAAACAAACAAATTAATTAAAATCCCAAAAAAATAAATCCCATTAAAAAAAAAATACAACTATATATCCCTTTTAAAATAAATACATTGTTGTCAATGACAGTTGCATGCAGCATTAATTTTCATTTTCAGTGAAGCCAGACAAATGACAAGCAAAACACAAAAAGAAATGTGCTATAGCTGAAAGTTCAGACTGATGAACGTTTAATAGATGCAAAAGATGTACGTTTCTGAAATGCGCTCACCCTGGAAGACATGGTTGCGTCCAAACTTGGGTATGTCAGGGTGATGGGCGATGAAGTCCTCCAGAAAGGCCGTGAGCTGGTACCCCTGCCGCAGGGTCATGTGACAGCCCACGAGGTACTGATGCACCACACGCAGGTGGAAGTCGTAGCTGAAGGAGTGAACGTGCATCAGATCCCGCACCTTATCACACTCCTCGGTGAACAGCATGGACAGCTGAGGGCAGAAACACACACGAACACTGTTACCGCTGCATCACTCCACATCACCTGTGAGAGACCATCAGAAACCCAGAGGAAGAACGCAAGCAGTAGCAGGAACATCATCCCAAATCCAGATCCTCAAAACCTAATGAAAGAGCTTCTCTACAGACGCTCAAATCAAACCAGCCTCGCTGCAAAGTCTGGCCAAAGACATGTCCAGGCCACATTTCAACCCAACATCAAAAGAAAATAAATATGAAATTACATTTTGCATAAAAAATTTAATCTCGCTTAGGACCGGTGAGATTTGTGACATTATTTTCATGACAAATAATCAGATTTTACACTCTAATGCATCCGATCTCTATTATTACTAATTAGATTCTCATTACTGTATTGTTTCATATTATACTAATAAAATCTATACTAAAAAAAAACAAAAACATAAAAATTTAACAAATAAATACATTTTAAAAAGTATATATTATGTCACTATTAAACAAATAAATAAATAAATCCCACTCTAAACAAAAATAAAAAACAATAACTATTATGCCACTATTAAACAGAAATACACACATACATATATACATATATATATATATACAGTGGGGAAAAAAAGTATTTAGTCAGCCACCAATTGTGCAAGTTCTCTCGACAGCTAAACGCTATTACCGCTGCCGCTTTCATCCTGACCATTACCCTGGAACAAATGCAAATAGGTCTTATCAAATCAACCCTGTTCAATTGACGCTGCCGTGGCCATTCCATTTGCAGAAAGCAGAAAACAGCTCGCGCAATTGCACCTTTCATCCCTGCGCAAGAAACGTTTTTCACGTCAACGTTTTGAAATCTGCCGGTGGCCCATTTGACAAAGTTCTGAGGAAAGATAATACCGTCAGTCCATTTTCCTTTCAGTCATGCGCGGCTGCGCAAAACAGCTTTTGGAAACATGGAGCACGAAAACGGCTCCATTCACAGCTTGCTATGATTGCGCTGGTTAGTCTGTTGTGTTTGCATTCGTGACACTCTTAAAGCATAATTACACCCTAGACCTGAGTCATGTGTTAACCAAATGCCAACATTCAGAGAATTTAGGCCTTAGTGAATGCTACAGAGTTTTCCCAGATGCCACGAGGTGCACAGGTCAAGCTCTGTAACGTGTCACCAGAGACTTTATAAATGGAGAAGATGGTCCACTTGAACATTTAAATGAGAGCAATCACAGTCCTGCCCTACAGGTAAAACAGCCATTATCCTTTTTGATAGAGCCATCGCTGCACTCAATAAATCTGCTGAATGCATTATAGTTCAAACAGCTTGTTTGTTTACTCTTGACGATGCATGTGCATTAGCAGGGTTTTGAGTGATCTGAGCTTGAAGAAGCACTGATTTTAAGCTATGATATCATTGCGGTCACATTTTATTGATCTGAAATAGATCACTTAAATAGAATTTTGACAGATTTTAGTGTTTCTCTATTAAATCCAATGAAGATGTACTTGCATGGCTGGAAAGAGCTGCCCAAGGCATTACGAAAATGACCGTTGAGCTAATTTATCTTGGAGGGACTTTGGCGTCACTTCTAGGTGTTCTACTTTCTTACTTTTACAGTTTTTTACTGTATACTTTCACTACTTTCTGGCTGCCTGGTAACCTCACAAAATCACCTTTCCATGACACTAGATGCTAAAGTCCTAAAAAGGGCCCTAAGGTCAACATAAACCTTTATACTTTTTTAATGAACATACCTTTTTTTATACATTTTATTTGTGCACATTATTCCAAATATGAAATTTTAAATATTTTTTAATCAAACTGGAATAATTGGTAACACTATTTTAAGGTGATTAGAGGTTAGAGGATACATGCACTTACTGTGGTAATAGTAAATTATTCATAATTACTGTACAAATAACTAACCCTAAACCTAACAGTAAAACTTTGAAATGTCCTTGTTACATGTAATTACTGAAGTAATAACAGTAAATTATGCATAATTACAAGTAACTTGTCCTAAACCAAACCTGGTAACACCTTATTATAATGTCCTTGTTGCATGTTACATGTACTTGCTGTAGTATTAACAGTAAATCATGCATAATTACAACTAATTAACCCTAAACCAAACCGGCAACACCTTATTTTACCAACCTTGCTACATGTTACAGGTAATTACTGTAGTAATAACAGTAAATAATGCATAATTACAAGTAACTTATCCTAAACCAAACCTGGTAACACCTTATTATAATATCCTTGTTACATGTTACATGCTTGCTGTAGTATTAACAGTAAATCATGCATAATTACAACTAATTAACCCTAAACCAAACCTGCAACACCTTATTTTAGCAACCTTGCTACATGTTACATGTAATTACTGTAGTAATAACAGTAAATAATGCATAGTTACACATAATTAACCCTAAATCAAACCTGGTTTTAGCATCCTTCTTACATGTTACACTTGCTGTAGTAATAACAGTAAATTGTGCATAATTACAAGTAATTAACTCTACACCAAATACGGTGGCACTTTATTTTAGCATCGTTGTTACACATTACATATACTTACAATAGAAATAATAGTAACTTATGCATAATTACATGCAATAACCCTAAATCAAACCCTATTCATAACCCTATGCTTCTTATGGCTCCTGTTACATCGTGATCTATTCCCACTGTTCCCAATTTCTGCAGCAAACTCTTGATAAATGTCAGATAAATAGAAAGCATTCTCATGGCATCCAGTGGCACTTCAAAACCAACTTCATCTGCTGCTACAGTGACTGGAGGAGTATTAGTAGTATAAAGTAAAAAAAAAAAGTGAAAGTATAGCTTAAAATAAATATGTATTAATAATGAAATGTTTAATGTAACATGTCAGGGAGAAGATGATTAAAATGATAATAACTGTAATATTTAGCATAAAAATCTTTGCATTGACTCTTCATGCTTAGAAAACCTTGCCACTGACATACAGCAGGATACTCAATTTGTCATATTGATAACACTTTACAATCAGATTTAAGTGTTTAAATTATTAAATTATAATAGTCTTTTAATTATTCAATTAAAAGCTTGGTATATGTATAACGATATAAAAATGCTTTTATATATACACATTGTTTTAATTGAAATTAAAATATATCATGCATATGGTTTAAAAACAAATATAGTTCATGTAAAAATATTAATGCAATTTTTATTTTTTACATTATTATTAATCTAAATTAAAAAAAAATTTTAGTCTGGTTTTCTTGTGATGTCAAGTTTCATGACTTTAGTACTTGTTTCATAAGTTTCCGTCTCCAATGTTTGTTTTAGTTAGTATTAGTGTTTTTATACTTTTTTTTATGTTTATTGTTATAAACTCCTTTTTGGTCTCATTTCATTTGTCATTTTTTAACCTTTGTGTCTCACTCATTTTCAGCTGTTAATTTTATACCTTCATGTCAATCGCATTTTCATTAGGAATGAACAATCAATTTATTGTTAACTATTCTGCAATGTTAATGTCTTTAAGCTGTGTTTTTGTTCCTGGAGAACCAAATACATCCACTTACTGTAGAAGGATAAAGTGGGCATTCTCAACGCTATAATGATAAATACTGTTGCTACTGTAATTGTGAGAAAACAACAACCATAATCATATTTGTTGACCACTGGGGAAAAAGCATTGTCATAAGATTCACTAATGTATATGGCGTAACAGCACTAATACTTTGAGCCCGAGATATGAAAACATGATTTCATGTTCAACAGTAACCTTTTCAAATGTAATTTTTTATTAAAAGAACAATTTTCTGGTACAAATGGCAGAGTTTCCTGACTATGACCTTTAAATTCAGGTGTAATATGCCTGACTTCAAGATGATTTGCTGATTTTTTCCTGGTGAATTTGATCACTATGCAGTCTTGATGAAAATGTCACTTTATCCTTCTACGGTAAGTGGATATATTTGGTTCTCCAGGAACAAAAAGTAGTATTAACAGCAGATTAATGAACAATAACTGGATTGTTCATTCCTTATGAAAAATAACACCAAACTGGCAGCTGGCAATGTTTGTTAACGCAACCGAATACTATGGACACTAACAGAACAGATTTAAGTTGATGAATTTTCATTAGTGATTCCTTCTGCCTGTTTGCCCTCAAGCTCAGTCTGAAGAATCTGCACTTACAAACAAGCAAACAAACACGCTGATGACTTAATTGCTGGATATGAGCAGCTGTGATTGGAGACACCTTATGGGCTCCTGGAAGAAATCAGAGCCCTCCTGCTGAGAAACATCTGGAGATTTACAAATATTTACACTTAATTACTCCTCATTTAGAGCCAACCTGGACCCGCTGCACATTAAACACACCATCAGAGCGAAAGAGACAGACATTTGACCAGTCAATCCTGCTAACAAAGGAGGCGATTGCTGCTTGTTGCTCATATTAAACACAGGCAGTTACAACAGATGCACAACTCTTAAACACCTCGCTTACTCTCACTTTCTCTTCTTGTCTGCTGTTTTTAATGCACAGATGCCGTTACCTGAGAATTAACCGTCTGACCCATGGGAATCCTTGAGCACTCTAATGCAAACTGCTTCACGCAGAAATAACAGCCCTGCAACAGAGTCACAATAAGATTATGTGTTAGCAGAGGAACACTTATGCATCACTGCTTAGCTCACCATACACAGGAGAAGCTTCTTAAGGTCAAATAAATCAAAATTGGCTTCAATTTGCTTTCTTAATTCAGCCTGGTCATGATTCGTTTGTGCACACTATGTTACTATTATAATAATAATAATTATAATATACTATTATAAGATTATAATAAATTAGCAAACTGAACCAAATAAAGAAGTATTTGCAATCGCTTTAACTCTCCTTTAAATTTCTATGAATGACTGGTGTTTTACTCATGGGTAAACATAGATTTCAATCAGAATTCATGATGAGTAATTCACACAGAACAGAATAAATCCATCATTAATTGCATATGTTAGCACATTCACTTTGACAGCCCTGATGTAAAAATTATGCCATGCAATTAAATGAGTTTAAACCTGAATTGAGGGGGATATTAGACATGGACACGGGCTGGAGATCAGATGATGACGCACAGATTGAATCTGTGTGTTCAAATATTAATAAGCATAAATAGAGCGAGAGAGGCAGGATCCATTAAACATCTCTCTCCTCGACATCCACTGAGACTTTCACAGCGTTTGCTCTCAGCTGATGTGCTAAGAGGCCGATTCTATGTGAGACACACAGACAGGTCTCACTTGAAAAGCCAGCTCCATCAGCACGATTCCTCCTGGCAGCGCCCTCTGCAGATGATACGACGCCGAGCTCGATGCATTGCTCTGCTGAGAGATGCAGAAAGGACACAATCAGTGTGTGTGTGTGTTAGCCATTCTTTATTGCAGTGGTGCTAGTGCACGTCATTTTACTGCACATGTATTACTGTTCAAATTTGAGGGTCAGTAAAATAAATTAATATTTTTATTCAGCAAAGATGCATTAAATTGTTCAAAAGCGATAGTAGACATTTATGATATCATAAAAGATTTATATTTTAAATAAACACTGTTCTTTTGAACTGCCCATTCATCAAAGAATTGTGAAAAAAAAAATGCATCTGTTTCCACAAAAATATGAAGCAGCACAACTGTTTTCAACAGTGATAATAACAAATGGCTGCTGAAAATTTAGATTTATATCTTTAAATATATTCAAATAGAAAACTGTTTTAAATTGTAATAATATTTCACAGTATTCCTGTTTTATTGTATTTTTACTCAAACAAATACAGCCTTGATGAGCATAAGAGACATCTTTCAAAAACACAAAATCGTACACATTTTTGAACGATAGTGTTTACATTCAAGTCAACAGAAATGTCTTGCACATTATAAAAACAATGATTTCACATATTCTATTTAATATTAAAAAGGTGGTTTTCACATTCTGTGATTTTCATTTTTAACCATTTAATCATTGTTTTTTTTTTAATGAATTGTTAAACAATTTAAACATCATGTTTGTGTGTCTTGTTACCAAACAATCATTTTAAATCTGATGAATATTTAATATTAAAAAGGTGGTTTTCACATTCTGTGATTTTCATTTTTAACCATTTAATCATTGGTTTTTTTTTATGAATTGTTAAACAATTTAAACATCATGTTTGTGTGTCTTGTTACCAAACAATCATTTTAAATCTGATGAAAAGGAACATAAAAACATGATACAAAATTCCATATTATGAAGAATTATTAATTTAAGGTGTCATTGAACAGCCTTTTTTATTTAAAGATTTGATTTTTTCTACAGATAGGATTTTTTATTTGGATGGGATCCAGAATGGAAGCGGGTGTTACCAATGGGGGTAACACTTCAGAATAGGGAACACTTATTCACAATTAATTATGACTTTTCCCTCAATAAATTCCTAACTGGCTGCTTATTAATAGTTAGTAAGGTAGTTGTTGAGTTTAGGCATTGGGTAGGATTAGGGATGTAGAATAAGGTAATGTAGAATAAGGCATTAATATGTGCTTAATTAGTACTAATAAATTGCTAATATTCTAGTAATATGCATGCTAATAAGCAACTAGTTAAGAGACCCTAAAATAAAGTGTTACAGAAATGGGTCTATGGACCCAAACTGGAGTGTGACTGAAGGGTTGAATATGGATGAGCAGATAAAGTACCTTGGGGCTGTCTTCACTCTTCTGCTTATTATATGAGAAAGAGGAGAAGGAAGATCTGCCTTCGGTGGATAAAGAACTCAACATGGCGGCTCGAGCTCGAGCGATGCTGCAGAGAGAGAGAGCGAAAGAGAGAGAGAGTGAGAGCGTGTGCGGCCCGCCGGGCATCTGACCCCGTCAGTAATGCGGCCCTCATGCTGCCGGTCATACCGAATCACACGCTCCTGCTGCTTAATGCAGTGCGTCCAGCATTAGCACATCACACACACGCTACAGAGAACTGGCTTCTGCAAAAAGCACTTATTCCTCAACTTAGTGTCACCGGATTACTCTGAAGATTTTGTACCATGTTTAACGTTACAGTCTGGCTGCTATAAAAGCTATTTTCACAAAAAAACCTCGACGTAAATGCCATTCTGTGCAGGCTATGCTTTGTGACAGAAAGAGTGAAGTGAATAACAGTGTTTATGACTGAAATACACAGTTCAAAACCGCTTGACACATTCAAGTCCTCCTGGGCAGCTTGTATTTACGAGTTGAGAAGGCGTCACTTTGTTCAGAGGAAGATTACGATGCACCTTTTCTATATAAAGTGCAACAAGACTTTTAAACACCATATCTACAAAATGTTAAAGAAAAGAAAGCGCATCAGGTATGTTTTTGCTCTTTTATGTTTTTGTTCAATTTATGAAGATGCTGTAATTTTAATCATTATGAGTGAGAGCGTGTGCGGCCCGCCGGGTGTCTGACCCCGTCAGTAATGCGGCCCTCATGCTGCCGGTCATACCGAATCACACGCTCCTGCTGCTTAATGCAGTGCGTCCAGCATTAGCACATCACACACACGCTACAGAGAACTGGCTTCTGCAAAAAGCACTTATTCTTCAACTTAGTGTCACCGGATTACTCTGAAGATTTTGTACCATGTTTAACGTTACAGTCTGGCTGCTATAAAAGCTATTTTCACAAAAAAACCTCGACGTAAATGCCATTCTGTGCAGGCTATGCTTTGTGACAGAAAGAGTGAAGTGAATAACAGTGTTTATGACTGAAATACACAGTTCAAAACCGCTTGACACATTCAAGTCCTCCTGGGCAGCTTGTATTTACGAGTTGAGAAGGCGTCACTTTGTTCAGAGGAAGATTACGATGCACCTTTTCTATATAAAGTGCAACAAGACTTTTAAACACCATATCTACAAAATGTTAAAGAAAAGAAAGCGCATCAGGTATGTTTTTGCTCTTTTATGTTTTTGTTCAATTTATGAAGATGCTGTAATTTTAATCATTATGTATTCTACTATAATACTATGCCATCTTGTACATGCAACTAAGTTTAATTGTATATTAAAAAAAAAATCAGGTAACACTTTAAGTGTTACACATTAAGTATGCAATAATAAAGAACTTAAAGGGTTAGTTCACCCAAAAATGAAAATTCTGTCATTAATTACTCGTGTCGTTCTAAACCCGTAAGAACTCCGTTCATCTTCGGAACACAAATTAAGATATTTTTGATATATTCTGAGAGCTCTCTGACCCTCCCATAGACAGCAATGTAATTACCACGATCAAGGTCCAGAAACGTAGCAAGGAGATCGGTAAAATAATCCATGTGACATCAGGGGTTCAACCGTAATATTACGAAGCTACGAGAATACTTTTTGTACGCAAACAAAACAAAAACAACGACTTTATTCACCAATCCGTCTCCTCCGCGTCACCCTGGTGCCATTCTGAGAGTATCCACTGAACGTAAACAGCGTATGCTATTCTGTGTCAGCTGCGTTTACGGTTTGATTTGAACAAAAAACAACATATCCGCGTGACATGCAGTGACTGTGCCGCACTGCATGTTCTAATCACGCATGAGTGATTGTATGAAATATAAAAAACATTATTCGGCTATTTTTTGTCTTTTGGAAGCTGCATTCAAAATCCACTTGGCTCAAAAATCTGAGGGGGCACGTGACGCCTCTGTTCATGTGTGTTCAACTCCTAAATCTGATCTTTCCACCATGACTTGAGCATTTAGTTGAGGTGTTTTTCTGTGGACACAGACCTGCGAGCGGGCGACTGCGGCCGGACCTGCACCAGGATGAAGCCCATGCTCTGCAGATACTGCACATACTGCTGCAGGAACATGCTGGAGATCTCCTGCAGCCACGGCTCCTCCTTCAGACGACTCGGCAGCATGTCTGCAGAATCCATGCTGTAGCTGCGATCGCGGCCGGACGCTGTAGAGTCACTGGAGCGATGCCGCTTCTGCAAGCCAAGAACGAGAGAAAGTCAGACCGTGAAGCAGAAAAGACACTGAATGAGTGAAATCTGAACTCAATTCACTGCACAGACAGATTTTGACTGTCAGCATAAAGTCTGGTCCATATTGAGCCTATTACCATCCACTTAGGCAGGAAAAGTCTGTTTTTGTGTGTGACATTTAATGTGGGTCAATCTAAAATTCAGATGCAATGGTCAGAGAAAACGTGGAGTGCAGAGGTGCACAGTGTGTTTGTGCTGACTTTATAAATCCCACTTGCTTTGGCATTTTGTTATCTAACGCATGACATTTTAAATGTGGTTCATGCGTCCAAACACTTTTTGTACATCAGATGAGATTTTGTACATCACTCACCTCTATATTACCTTCATCATCAACAACAACAACTGACCAACGACCACATAATCATGATTATTCTGCTGCTAAACTGACATACGTGTGCTCATTATCATACCTGACACGTCATTACATATGTGATATTTACGGTTTATTTTTATCTGTTTTGCATATAAACTAATAATAATTATATTTCAAATGTATAATAATAATAATAATAACAACAAACAATAAATAAATCTTATGCACTCGTAATATAATTATATGGTTCACAGTTCTGATTAATCAAAATACTAATATTTTTAATAAATATGACAATTATGATTATTATTAAAACATAAAAAATATATATCAATACAATAAATAAACCAATTCTATTATAATAAAATTATAATTAATAATATTATTTATATTACATGAATACAAATAAAACAACAACTAATAATGGTTAAATAACAACAAATAATAATTAAAATAACAACAAAAAAATGTATAAAACAAAAAATAAATCTCATGCACTCACAATGGAATTATATGCTTCATACTTATGGTTATTATTATTATTAATATTATCATCCTAACCCTTTTTTTGTATAAATGGGTTTACTGCAGTGTGAACCAGCAGATGAGGATGAGGAAGAGGAAGAGAGACAGACCTTCATCTGTGGCTGAGGCAGCTGTTCCTCTTGAACCCGTTTCCGGAAGACGGGGTCAAAGAGCAGCGGAGTGGCGCAGTAATGGACCAGCCGAGACGACTGCTTCAGTGTGTCCAGATCCGCCACCTGAACACACACCGAGAGCGTTTCCAGATTTAAACCTACAATTCCTTCATTTGCTAACATTTTCAGTGTGTAAATACTTTCCATCCCAGTTTAATATGCAGCCTGTGGTGCTTTCAGGCATCACAACCTGTTCAACACATTGACTCGACTCAACCAATGGTGCGTATCTGTAAAATTTAGAATCAAGGACATGCTGTGAATTTACAGTACGGTTCAAAAGTTTGGGGCTCGATGGTGTTTTGAAAGAAGTCTCTTCTGCTCACCAAGGGCCAGATTTACTAAACAGGGCAAATTAGCATTAGAGCGCAATTCCATAAAAGCGCCGATGGGAGGGGAAAATTCTGCGGATGATTTACTGACAATATGCACATGAACACGCCTTTTCAGCACTAATTCTTCACTGTGCGTCTTTAGTAAATCATGACAGTACTATTTTAATGCCAAAAGGCTGGTGCAAACTGTTAGTAAATCTGGCCTTAAGGCTGCATTTATTTGATCAAAAATACAGTAACAAAACGTGATGCTGTGAAATGTTATTAGAATTTAAAATAACCGTTTTCTATTTGAATATATTTTAAAATGTAATTTACTCCTGTGATGTGCAGCTGTATTTTCAGCATCATTACTCATGATTTACTGACAATATGCACATGAACACCCCTTTTCAGCACTAATTCTTCACTGTGCGTCTTTAGTAAATCATGACAGTACTATTTTAATGCCAAAAGGCTGGTGCAAACTGTTAGTAAATCTGGCCTTAAGGCTGCATTTATTTGATCAAAAATACAGTAACAAAACGTGATGCTGTGAAATGTTATTAGAATTTAAAATAACCGTTTTCTATTTGAATATATTTTAAAATGTAATTTACTCCTGTGATGTGCAGCTGTATTTTCAGCATCATTACTCCAGTCTTAAGTGTCACATGATCTTCAGAAATCATTCTAACATGCAGCTCAAGAAACATTTCTGATTATTCTCAATGTTGAAAAGAGTTTGATATTTTTGTGGGATCCCTGAATTTTTTGACGAATAGAAAGTTCAAAAGGATATAATTGATTTGAAATTGAAATCTTTTGTAACATTATAAATGTCTTTAATGTCACTTTTGATCAATTGAATGCATCTTTGCTGATTAAAGTTAAAGCTGATCAATTTCTTTCAACATCAAAAAAATCTTACTGACCCCAAACCTTTGCACGGTAGTGTACTTACAGTAGTAGTGACCTGCACAATATGGATTGTAACCTGCAGTATAATAATAACATATTTGTCTGGATCTCAGCAGTGTGAAAGAGCCTCAGTGTGCATTCAGAGGAAGTGCGATCACAGCGAATGACAGAGACATCTCAAACACTGCAGCATCTCCTAATGTCCTGGCCACATCTCATTAAACCCAAGCGGGCCGCACACACACAGATCTGCATGTGTGCGTGTGAGGCAGAGGATCCGCGTGCACTGGGATGAATCTGGACCTGATGAGCCACTGGGAAAATCATGCTCTGAGAGTGTGATGGAAAATACCCATCAAACATTATCACACGCCGAGCCTGTGTGCAGCGGTGTACCCGCGCTGAGTCTGAGTGAACTCACAGAGATGGGCATGTTGGACTGAGCCGAGCGCTGCTGCCACGTCACAAACAGATTCTCAATCTTCATCTGTCTCTCCAGCTCTGCAACACACAAGACACACCTCAGAATAAATCACATGCTCTCTGTCTGAGGGTCACAATTACAATTATGCCACAATTCTCTTTCTTTCTAGTTTTGTTCATACTTTCATATAAATGTATTTTTGTTCTTTCATTGTTTTTACTATGTAACTTCAATTCATACTTATATTTTTTGCTTCATAATTCTATTTTCACACTTTTTCATACTGTTTTTCTGTGTGTTTTTTTCCTGTTTGTTCTTTAATTTGTACGGTTACTTTTGTTTAGGCATTTTCATTCCTTTCTTCTTATATGTATAACTTTCTTTCTATTTCTAATTTCATACTCCTTTAATTATATTTTCCTTCCTTCCTTCTAATACTGCTGCTTGTATTGTTTTCTTAATTTTATTTTTGTGTGTGTGTTGATGGTGGATGCAAGTTGTGTGTGTGCGTGTGTACCTCTGCGCTCAGCGGCTTTGACCTCCAGTAGCTGGGCTCCATGGCGAGCGACTATATCGGGTCCGTCCTGACTGCTCAGGGGCCTCACTGTGTTCACGTCTCTCAGAGCTTCATCAAAGGGCACGAGTTCTCCGGGGAAGGCCAGAGGAGGAAGAGCACGAGTAGAGCTGCCCATCCGACCCTGATCCTTACTCACGGCCGGAGGAACCGGACTCCTCAACAGAGCGTCCGCCTCGATCGTGGAGCTCAGGAATGGGTTGGGCTCCTGCAAACAACAAAATACATACATGAGACATAAACAAATAAGCAGAAGGTAAACATATAATATGATATAATATCAACATATGAGTATAAAGAAAAAAAAACGAAATAAAAATGAAAAAGAAATTGATACAAATGAGAAAAAAAGTTTAAAAAAATTGAAAAAAGAAAAATTACAAAGTATGAATAAAAGAAAAGAAAACAACAGGTGTAAATACGTATGAAAAGAGAGATAGAGAGTAATGAAGCTAACACAAAAGTCTGAACAAAAGTACAAATACAAACTAAGAGCATTATGAAGCAAAGAAAAAAAATGAATCAAAGTTACTAACAAAAAACAATGAAATAACTACAAAATAATATATAGTAACCAAGTAAAGAAAAAAGCAAGTACAACTTAAAGAAAGGCATAAAAGGTGTGAAAGGTTGAAAAAGGGCAAGAAACAAAATTAAATTAAGAAAAAGCACAAATGGAAGTATGAACAAAAGTATGGAAAGAAAGAAAGAAAGAAATATTCTTATATAATAAAATTGATTAATCACAGCCTGAAAAGCAGTGGTGTTTGATAAAGCAGAATTTCCTCTGGTCTTCACGTTCTCCCGGCCTCTTTCATGTGATTTCAAAGCTCAGCTCTCATCAGCCTTCACAAACTCACTCACACATTCTGAGATTTGATGTCAAACTTCTCAGAAATGGTCAGTGCGTGTTCATCAGCATTAAACTCACGGACACGCAGAGATCCCACCAGCATGAGGGCCTTTCCTCAAGACCAACAATTAACACGCGGCTGAAATATAAAACCCCATCAGAGCATCAGAGTGAAGAACTAACAGAACTCCTTCTGAAGACCTTGCCCTCTTCTTGTGGGAACTTTTGGGTGAGTTAGTGTTTGGAAGACTAGTTAAAGTCCTCCAGGGCGAGTTGGAGGCTTTTCTAAAAGAAGCTGGAGCAGATGCCCATGTGCCTGACGGGCCAATAAGCCGGACTTAAGCGCCTGAACTCCACCCCCTGGGACTCTGACAGACGATTGACGTTTAGGGCAAATTTTCTGCTATGTTGGATCTGCCTTCTGTTAGCATTCATTAAGAGAACAGATTAAAAGTGTGGAGCCGCTGACGAGGAAATAAAAGCGTTCTGGCCTTCACTTTCTATATGTAGATTTTCAGTTTATTTGTACTTCAGTAACATGATAGAGCAAGTGTGTGTGTGTGTGTGTGTGTGTGTGTGTGCGCGTGTGAGACTAAAACATATTTTTGACCTTGAGAAATCGCAAATGTTAAGTAATAATAAATAAGTTATTTAAAATATATAAAATTTTTACTCTAATTAAAAAGTTAAATTAAAGAATGTGGTACTCTTAACACGGCAGAACTGACCTTTGTGATATTGCAATGTATTTTTAATCTACTGAAATTGTTAGATTATGCAGCAACGTGATTAAAAACTCATTCAACTGAAGAGAGAGAATAGTCTCATTTGAAAGTGTTCCTAATGTTCACTATGATAATGTTAACTCTATAGTTAAAATAAAATTTTTACCAAATACAAGACAATACCATTGTATCTTCACTAGGTTTGTGCCACTGTTATAAATGACATGGCAACAATGGTTTACCCTCTTTTTTGATATTTTGCAACACTTAAAGAAAAATCTAATAAAATAATATATATGTGTGTGTGTGGACATTTTTCTGACGCGCATATGAATAATTTGGTTGTGCAAGGAACTACAACAAATTTCATTTAAAACTACAGTAATTACTTCTAAAGCAGAGCTTAGTGAACAGTCAACTCTGCAGAGATTTTAACCCAAAATTATTTAAGTTTTGAAATCATACAGTTATTTTAGCAAAAATGTTATACTTTTATTCATTAACTGATCAGTGACAGTAAAGATCAATGATGTCACACAATATTTATATTTCAAATAAATGCTGTTATTTTTAATGTTTATATTCATCTAAGAATCCCGAAAAAGAAAATATATCGGTTTCCACAAAAATATGAAACAGCACAACTGTTTTCAATATTGCTAATAATCAGTCTTGAGCAGCAAATAAGCATATTAGAATGAGTTCTGAAGGATCATGTGACACTGAAGACTAGAGTAATTCAGCTTTGATCACAGGAATAAATTACATTTTACAATATTCACATACTTTTTTGAAATTTTAATAATATTTCACAATATTCTACAACTATCTATCCATCCTTCCATTCATATCTATCTATTTATCTATCTATCTATCTATCTATCATAAATATAGTCTATATATCATTACAATAGCCCCGTAATAATGACCCACTAACTGTACTTTAACTATTTTATTAAAAAAGCACTAAAATTCCTGATATTGCCCCTTTAAAAAGTCGATCAGAAATGTCTGTGTGTCATTATCAGTGCAGGCACATGACTGTCATAAGCGGTTCCATTAAAGGCCTTTAACACAGAAGCTCTCGATAACGACATCAACAACTGTCTGCTTTCCCAAAATATATCCTGACATTTGGTGTGAAATCTTGACAAACAGCTGACAACTGAATCAATAACAGTGAACGCCGCGACAGAAGGTTTCGTCTCTTTACTGACAGAACCAACAAACATGTTCTGCTGCATTAACCGCAAACAACTAAAACACAGCGTGATTCAATTCACTCTGATCAAACGAGCTCGACTCCGGGCAGGAATGAACTGTTTTGGCAGCGCTCTGGATGGTTTCCAGTTGTTTGGTGTTAGCAGGTGTGCTGGAGTGATTAGCATCCTGCCCTGCGGCCGTGACACCTGTCTGTCACTCAGAGTGAGATGTCAGACCGCCCCGGGGAGCGCCGGACACTCGTGTGCTGCTTAACCAACTCACTAGCACTATCTGTACTTATAATGTGTGAACACACACTGTCCTAAAAGCTCATCCCAAACGATGTCCAGCAATCCATGACAGCTTACAGAGTGTGCATGTTGAGAATAACATACCACCTACTGTTTTTGACAGAAGATACAAAGCAGTATGTACACTACCATTCGATACTTCAGGGTAAGTAAAGGGTACGTTTTTTAAAAATAATAAATTAACACCTTTATTCAGCAAGGATGCATAAAATTGATCAATAGTGACATTTATAAAGCTACAAAAAAATATTATATTTCAAATAAATGCTGTTCTTTTGAACTTTCTATTTATCAAAGAATCCTGAAAATATATATAACGAAAAAATATGAAGCAGCACAACTGTTTTCAACAGTGATAATAATCAGAAATGCTTCTTGAGCAGCAAATCAGCATATTAGAATGATTTCATATAAGATCATGTGACACTGAAGACTGGAGTAATGACGCTGAAAATTCAGCTTTGACCACTGAAAAAAAAAAAATCCTTTAGAAAAAATAAAAATAGTATGCTAGTATGCTATTCTGAATTCAGTCTGTCAAATGCAATGCTTTCAGCTAAACTAAGGAATCATGATATAAGTCAGCTGTGAACATCACTTAAATATATAGTTTTAGTTTTTAAAACATGATGAAAAACACAAAATAATGGTTGTTTTGCGTTTTTTATATATATATATATATATATATATATATATATATATA